GAAGATTACGTTCCCCACCTCACATATGCAGAACCGCCTCCTGATGGATACTGGGATGTTCCAATCTCGCCCAATGCTAGATACTTCACTGTATTTGAGCAATTCGACCGAAGCCTTCCCGATGCTAAAAGAACGCCTACAGAGTTTGAGAGACTTAGTCAATTCTATGTTAAGCATGCCTCTCCCATAAAGCACATATGGTCCAATGACAGACCATCCGCAGTCATAAATTACAATGTTCGGAAGTTCATGAAGGCATAATTCTTCCAGTACACCCTCACCCGAAGGGGACATGACTATGCTCGCTCCCAAGCGGACTTCCCCAACATGAATCCGGAGGAAGTTTTTCTCATTGCCAAGGTATTTCAGAATAAGGCTGAGAAACACCCAAAGATGAAGACTGCACTTGACAGGGCCAACAACTTCTTGATGAAACTAGTTTGCGATTTTTCCAATATTGATGCAGACATCCATCCCATCATTTCCAAGAAGATTGATCTACCACCCCTCGACCCCGCACCGATGCCCACCGAAGGCTTTGAAAACAGATCTTTAGGTGCAACCAACTTTCCTGAACTTGGCATCATTTTCAAAAGGAAGACCGACAACGTCAAATATTTTATTCCTATGATGCCATGCATCGGCTCACCAGGAAGCAGCTTGACATCTGCCGAATTGCAGTAGAAAAATCCAAATTCACTACCGCAGAGGTCAAGTTCGAGATCTTGAGGAGGATCACCTGGTTGGAGAATGTCAGGAAGTTCTTGTGGATTTTGATCAAGTATCTTCATCTTGATAAATGATCAGAAGTTAAAGAGGTCACTTAGGGGGAAATTGTTGAATCATTAAAGTGATCATCTTGAACTTTCTTGCTACCGCAGTCAGCACCACATCCGCAACCAAGTCTCTCTCACAAGCATTCGCAGCCAACGTCAGAAGCAACAACAGTCACTTTTTATTACTTAGTTTATTTTGTCTTATTTAAATTCTCTCTATTGTCCAGTAGACCTTGCATGGCTACTCATAGAGAACGTTTCTACTGTGTTTCACGAGTCTCTATAAATAGAGCTCATTTCTCATGTAATCAATACGGTGTGTGAATCTCTCATCAAATTCTAATACACATCTCAGAGTTCTATCTTACTTATCAAATATTCTTACTCTCATAATCAATCACCATCTCTCTTTGGAGCAAGTCACTTGTGACTTAATCACTAAGCTAGATCTCATTTACTAACTTGGTTTGAATGCATTTCTTGTTATGAATCTACTTATGTGTATACTTGATATAACAATTGTTGTCATTTACATTTCTTTACTTTTCGAATCTAACTCTCTAACTTCTAACTCTTAATATTATTATTGAGCTAACAAATCCTTCGAGATTAACTATTCCGCTATATACTTGTTCTAACAATTTATTCAAGTGTGTCTCAAAGTTTTTCTCTCAACAATATATATATATATATATATATATATATATATATATATATAGAGAGAGAGAGAGAGAGAGAGAGGTAGGTTCCGTTGAGATTAAAAATAAAATAAAGATCTTTAGATTCAACCTCAACCACCTATTTCATATCTGCCGCTCTAATCCTCTAGCATACCGGCACGACAAGCCTTGTATATAAATGATTATATAATGCCACTCATTCCTTTCTCATCCGCCACCATAACCACCACTACCACCACCCCTTACAACAGCCGACCCCATCACTATCACCTCAATTACTTATACCACCATCAACTCTGTCACCACCACATTTTCTGTCACCAACTGTCATAATCATTTATGATTACTCAATCTATGAACAAACATATATGTATAATCATTTATGATTAGATATATACGTATAAACATGTATAATCCTATATGATTATACGTCTCTGTCATATAATCATTTATGATTAAGCATACCCGTTGCTCCCGGTACGCTGGAGCATTAGAGCGGCAAATGAAAAATATGTGGCTGAGGTTGTATCTCAAGATCTCTATTTTTTTAATCTCAAGTGAACCGTCCCTATATATATATATATATATATATATATATATATATATATATATATATATATATATATATATATATATATATATATATATATATATATATACCATTCTTAATAAAAAAAAAAATAGGTTTTTATATGCCACGTGTCGATTTAATAGCCATTTCGCCATATGTCGCTTCCTTAACACTTTTGCCACGTGGCCATATACAGCCTGTACAGTAAATAAGCCTAATCCCCTAAATCCTAGCGACTTTAAATGGCAAGTTACTGTAAGTTTGCACGAATTAAGGATAAGAAGAGGGCTATTTCAAAATTTGAAATCCAAAAATGGTAGATATTCCAAAATCTCGGAAACCATCGACATTCATCTTTATTTTTTCTCCACTGATAAGAAAATGGTATGTTCAACCATCATGGACATTCTAAAAGAAACCCTAGCCACGAATCTCCTACAACCCCCTCAATCACTATTCATCCTTTGGTGTTCAACCAACAAAGCGTCTTCCAGCCACAAACATCCTCTGGTACCGTCAATTATGGGGGTCAATTTTTTGAAATCAATAATTCCCCTTTACACAATTACGCTATTTGCTTTCACTCTCGACACATCTTTATCATTTTACTCGGTTCATTTGTTGTTTGTATCAACTTTAAGATACTTTTACTGCAAATAAGTTTTTTTTTTTGAAAGTATCATGTTATAATAGGTAGAATTTTTAAAGTCTAATGCCTTAGTAGAAAAAAAAAACGTAAGGAACAATGTAGTAATAGAAAGAAATATTAGTTATGCTATAATACACAAATAAATGAAAAGACTCTACGATTTCTTATATTTATCCCTGAACTCAAATTATTATATTAAAATTTACAACATCTGGTGCACTATTGTATAGTTATGGACATGGATTAGGACAATTGGAAATTCATATATTTTTTCATAACAAAGGCTGCTTTAAGAGGTTGTATTTGAGAGAAAAAAAATGTTCAGATGAGATTTTTATGTTAGGTAATATGCAAGGTGAAGAAATTTGTAATGCTTAGTTTTGAATTAGTTTTCTTTTGAAATGTGACTACTCTTTAATGTATATGTAGGGGCACTTTTATAAATAAAGAAAATGCTAAAGGAGTTTGGCAACTTAGTTCCATCATATAACAATATTCTTTCTCAATATGGTAACTTAGTTTCATAAAAAAAAATCATAATAACCAAATACTCCTGCAATTCCATTTTTTACTTGAGCCGAGCATTTACCAAATTGACAGTTTTTGATAGTTATTTCAATGTGCTTTTGGTCTAAGTTTCAATCACACTTTACATTCAAAATCTCAGAAGGTTATATTGAAGCTGGAGGAAGATTGATATTGATACTAATATAGTGAGCTATGTTGGAAATGACATATTTACCCCTGGTGTTGTTCGAAAACCTTCTTTTCTTTGAAGTTAATAAATTTACCCCTGGATTGGACCTGCTCAGTTCCTATCTTTGGTTAGTGATCTTGCATTATCTAACTACAATGGTTTGTCATTGTTTTTTGTAAATAACATATTTACCCACCTGGTGTTGGTTCTGTTAAATGCTCATATCAACTCATAATTGTTGCTTCTTTACTTGGCCTTAATCTATAATGTTATCCATGGTGTGACACAACATATCATTGCTATTAATTGCTTAGTAGGTGTAGTTTTTTCCCCCGGGGTTTCAGGGTCTCATACAAATCAATAAATGGATTTAGTTTGATCAATTTACATGTTTTCATTGATTGATTTGGGTGATACACATATCTGTTGGGTGTGCTTAACGGGGGACATCTTCTCAAGTTTGGGGTCATCATTGGAAATATAAGTGTTTATATTTGTAAAGGGGTTGGCTAAAGGGATACCTCATTTTACCATTTAGACACCCTATATAGTTTTAAATGTATTTTTATTGGTTAAAATTGCATTGGTTTTTGAAAAAGATGATTCAAAATAGTTACTTTTAGGTTGACTTTAAAAAAATGTATATATGGTGTCTAAAGAGTGTATTAATAGCAATACCCATTTATAAATTGCATTAACGGTAGTTTTTTATTTTTTAATGTTAAAATTATGTTTATGAGAGTTGCACGATGGCTTTGTAGTTAATTGTCCAATTTTTTATAGGAACGTTGTCTTTATTATTATTATTATTATTATTGTTATTATTATTGTTATATATTTTTCTAATTTCATACATAAAGTTTGATGTATAAAAGGATAGTAATTATTTAGTATAAATGATTATTTTTCTAATTTCATATATATATATATATATATATATATATATATATATATATATATATATATATATATATATATATATATATATATATATATATATATATATAGGGAGTGGTTCAAATGAGAACAAAAAAATATTAAGAACCGTAAGAACCTCTAACTTTAGATGTTTATAAAGGGTTTAGGGTAACTCTAAACCCTAAACCCTAACCCCTAACCCCTAAACATTAAACTCTAAACCCTTTATAAACACCCTAAACTCTAAACACTTTATAAACATCTAAAATTAGAGATTCTTACGGTTCTTAACATTTTTTTGTGTTCATTTGAACCTTTACCTATATATATATATACACACACGTTGAGAAAATGGTGCATGGAAGTTGCGATGGGCTTTGATTTTTACATGGAATTGGCTATGCAACAAGATCTCACGTCCCTTGAAGTGCACGTATTCTTAAGCTTAACTACGATATTATTTTGGAAAGTTTAGAAGAAAAACACATTAGTTTTGGAATTGCGGATTATCATACAAATATAACACGAATCCCAACATTTAATGGGATTTTGATATATACTACAAATATAAATTTACAACAAAAAATATATATAAATATAAACCAAAATAACACCACAAAAAATGATAATAAAAAAACATTTGACTGTTGACTTCGTCTTATGTAAAAAGCCTATTGGGCTAAATTCTTTTTCTTCGTTACATGCAACGAAATTTTCCGGAAGATACCAAGCAAATACACTCCGTCACGATATAATTATAAACCTCTCCTCTCTTCCTTTCTTCCTTCTAATTTTAAACTTCACCCATTCACCTTTCGGTGTTTTCAGATCGATTTGCCTTTTCAATTTCATCTTGTAAGTTCTTCAAACCCTTTTAGCGGAAACACTCATGCATGATCAATCTCTTCTCTTCAACGTTTTTTCCGATCGTCCGAAAATAATACGAACGTTTATCCGATTGCTTGTGTGTATGTATGTATATGTATGCATGAAATCGCTAGGGTTTCGATTTTGATAGATGAAATTAACTCCCCTGTTTTCATTTTCTATTTGATTTATTGCTTTTGGTGTTGTGATCGGGTTGAATTCGTTTTCATTTCTTGATGAATAAACCCCAATCGTGTTGACTTCACTTTACAAGTCGTTTCACACACACTCATGTGTCTCTTTTTTTTATCAAAATATGTGTTTGGATGTAAGATCGATCAGTCATTTCAATTTTCAACTAGCTTGTTATATCCAAAAACTACCAAATTAAGCAACTGCGCAGCTAATTTTAACTCAAATCGACAGGTTTTTAGATAATGGAATCCAAGGAGGAAGTTCATAGCGATGACGGATCTTTTGAATTGATCGACTTTGATGATTACGCTGTGAACATCGAAGATATGAATACAAAAGCTGATTTCTTTAGCAACAGGGTATGATCAAAGAACATAAGAAAGTACTATAAATCGAATGAAATCTAAATCTTGTTATTTTGTTGCAGGATATCTCAAGTGATGGTTCTTATGACTTCCTTTCTTCTGAACTGTCTGATATACTTGTTCTAACAGAAGGAGAAGCCTCTGCTTACGAAGACCTTTCTGCTCAAATCAAATTCTTTTCACTCGAATCAGAAAATGAAGCCAAATCTGATCCTTCAGAGGAAGAAGAAGAGTTTTCAGGCATGGAGTTTCCTGATAGTGTCGATATGGTAACACATTAACACACTTATCTCCTGCTTTTCATCTTCTTTTATTAATCATTTCTTGTTTCTTGCTTATGTCGCTTCTTTGTTTTCAAATTACAGAGTAGGAAGCGAACTTTTATGACCATGGCTTATGAGAACTCGACTTTTGATGTTCATGATTACCCTTTTCACATAAAGTTAAAGGATGACATAACGATAAAAGAAATGGCAAAAAACCACATCCTTCGTTACCTTCCAGCTAAATCATTAGCAAAGTGTCAACTTGTTTCTAAAGAATGGGATTTATGGATTTCAAGCCCATTTTTCGCACACACCCAAAGTCAATACTTCAGTCAAACCTCTGGTTTCTTTCAAGATAATGATGAAACTATTCGTTTCATCTCTCTTGACAACTCTTCTTATGGGGTTCCTTACCCTTCCCTTTATTTCCTTCCACAAAAGGTTTCCATAAGAAGCTCTTGCAATGGGTTGCTTCTTTGTCAAGCTTCTGATGATGAAAATGAAATTTACGTTTGTAACCCTGCAAACAAAGAGTGGATTCGGCTTCCTAATTCTGGTTACTACCATGGAAAAGAACCAAAAAATGTGCTTGCTTTTGAACCTTCTTCTCTAAACTTTGAGCCACGTTATCAAGTTATATGCCCTTTCTCTGTTCCTGGTGAGGGACCCATTTTGTATTTTGACATTTATGATTCAAATACAAAATCTTGGAGGACTTGCGATGAGATATGTCTCGATTTCGATGAATCCGATGTTAAAAGTGAAGGTCTTTATGTAAATGGAATTGTTTATTGGGAAACTACACGTGGCGAGTTGTTGGCGTTTGATTTGAAAAATGAGTTTTACAGTGTTCAGAAGCTTCCGTTGGGTGGTGCGTTGTCGAAGGTAGATGGAGAGTTATGCTATGTCAAAGGGTATTATTGTCATTCCGTTAAAATGTGTGTATTGGATGTTTATGGTGGTGGTGTTATGTCTTTGAAAAGTACAATGAGTGTTGATGTTCGTCTTGATGGCGTCGAAGATGGTGAGATGGTTGATTGCAGAGTTTTGGGTAATTCATGTGATGATGTTGTCGCTTTTATCTTGGAGAAGTCTCAAGGGCAGAATTGTCTTTTTGCTTATCATATGAAGGATCAAAAGGTTGAAGGCCCATGGTATGTTTGGAGCTCTATTAAGTTGTTTCCTTATGTTAACAGTCTTGTTTCTATAGGTTCATAGAAATCTATAGTCGACATGTTAATTTTTTAGCAGTGTTTTTTTGTCACTAATTAGTGGATGGTTTAATTTTGCCCCTATGAGGTGTTTTTGTACATGTGCTGTTTATTATGCTTTTTTTAACATGGGAATTTGTTCTTTTAAATAAAGTTTGTGGGATGTGAATTGTATTTCAATTAATCAGGATATGATTAGATGCTTTTTGCTGCAGATATAGATATAGAATAAGTTAATAAAAAATATAGTTAGAATTTAAAAAATATACATAAAAACAAATATATATACAAAGGTTGGTAAAATATAATTTTGTAAAAAAACTAAGTCGGTATAAAAAACCGTAAAACAAGAGAAAATTTGTGAAATGACTGAAAAAATACTATATGAAGAAAATGACTAAGAGTTTGGAGTTTTCGAAAAATGATCACGACTTCTACAGAAAAGGCCTTTACGGAAGTCGTTTAGCTCTAAAGAATAAGAAAATTTTCTGAAAAAATGATATGGTAGGGGGAAAAGACAAATATATATATATATATATATATATATATATATATATATATATATATATAATTTTAATTTCGCAGCGGTGTATCATTCCATAGAAATGCTCTCTCCAGATATGTTCTTCTGAGGTACTCCTATGAGGAATTGTTCTTCGCTAAAACATTGCTTATATTGACTAAATGATCGAAGAAATAGACTTAGAAACATAGTTGTATAGTTTAAATTGTTATTTTGAATCATTGATATGTGCTAAATGTTGATAACTCGTTAGATTTAGAAGAAAACAAATATCAAAATCGTTATTAGACCATATTTTAGCGAATAACAATTCATCAGAGGAGTACCTCTAAATAGCAGATCCGCAGAGGGCATCTCTGTAGAACGATATACGCTCTACAGAATTAAAATTTTATAATTTTTTTTATTGTTTTTCTCCGCCACGTCATTTCCTTATAGAGTTTTCTTGTTTTTCAAAGTTAAAGGACTTCCGCATATGCTCTCTCTACGGAAATCGTGATCATTGTATGAAAACTCCTAATTCCTAGTTATTTTCTTCAAACAACTTTTCTTTTTTGGTCATTTCACAAATTTTCTCCTAATAATAAGTTGTAATACAAAAACCAAAAGTTTAGTCTAAATTTGAATATGGACAAACTTGGGTTGTAAAACAATAAGCTGTAAAAAAAATATTTCAAAAAAATAAAGTTTTATCGTTAAAAGCTAAGAAAGTGCGGTATTTTTTATTTTATTTTATTTTTTTGAAATTTTGGTTAAAATTGCAAAATAAAACTATTGATTCTTCGGACAAAAAACAATAATATGCCGATAAATTAGCAAAACTTTTGTTAACAAACCTACAAGCGATAATCATTATACATTAAAAACAATGAAATATTAAAAAATCTATATATGAACAGGAAAAAGATATGTACTCTAATGGGCCACAAAACACTAAAATTTTAAAAGAAATAAATATTAGATGGTTTGTAAAAAGAAATAAATAAGAAGAATGTAAGGACCACTTTTTAACTTGTAGATAATAGAATGTAGGGGCTTTATTAGTTTATTTATTCTTCGACAAAGTTGCACTGATGGTTCATTGGTTTGTGAATAAACAAAAAGTGCACACGTAATGGAATGGTTTGTGACTAATGAAGAAGAATGTAGGGGCCATAATTGTAATTCGAATTTACTTATTCTTCAACATTCAACATTCAACAAAACCATAAATGAACTGTAATATCCAAGTAATAATCGTATATATTGTATAATAAATATATGTAGAATTATAATTACAATTATAATCTATAAGGAACAGTGGATAAGTAAAGCTGTCATAATTTATTAATTTATCACGTAAAAGGGGATTAGGGGAATATAAAATTATAAAATATTGGATATACATTGACTGATTATTTTGTGTTTAAAAACCCTATTGGCCTATTGGGTTTAACCTTCTTTTCCACGTTAAAGTTACCAAAGGTATAAACCTCTCTTCTCCCTTCTAATTACGCATTTCACCAATTTCCCTTTCGGGGTTTTCAGAGCGATTTTCGACTTCAATCTGTATGTTCTTCAAACCACATTCATGCATAAAGAATCACGAATCATGATCTATCTGTTTAATTTCTTCAAAGTCTTTGCGATTATATGAAAACAATATACGAATTGAAAGTTTCTCTTATTCTTCTGCATGCATGAAACTGCTAAGGTTTCACTTTTAATGAGGAATGTTTTTTTTCTTATTCGATTATTGATTTCTGTTTATGTTCGTGTAACCGGAAGTGTCTAGGGTAATACTAATCTTATTAGTTTTCAACTTTTTATTAGGAAAGAAATGATTCTTTAAAGTACGAAAACTATCATAATAAATATTCAATTTACAAACCTATTAACTCAATCCATTAAACCCCATACAGTTTTTGATATCAGTTCCCTACCGGATCGCCGAACTCAGTCACCGCCGACCTCCGCCGCTGCTCCGCTGCCAACCTCTGTCGCCGCTCACCGTTGGGATACCTCTGTTCTTTGCTCTCCTGCCCTCTCGTTCACAAAGGTACATACCCTCTCTCTCTCTCTCTCTCTCTCTCTTACTGGGTTTAATTATGACTTTATTTGTTTATGTCTTTATACATAAATAAAGATTACGTAATAATCGGATAGACAAAACATGATTGAGACTTTATTTGTTTATCTAAGTTAGACAAAACTTAGGAATCGGTAGCTTAAAAGAAATAGTCATGCTCAATTAAGAAGAGATCGACTTTTCTCTAACCCTTTTTGTTGTTGAATCGTTAGGGTTTTGATTATGGAGGTCAAAGAGGAAGTTCATAGTGATGGATCTTACGAATTGGTCGATTTGGATGATATATCTAGTAACACGGTATGATTACAGAACATAAGAAATCAGTATAGAGTATAAACGAAATGACATCTAAATGTTTTCATTCTGTTTCAGGATCGATCCAGTGATGGTTCTTATGACTTCCTTTCCGAAGAAGAAGAAGAAGCTTCAAACACTACACCTGTTAATGAGGACAATACACAAATCAAATCTTGTTCACTAGGTTTACCAAATGAGGTTTCAAAATTCGAAGATTCAACCAACTCTCATGATGAAGATGATGTTGATGAAGATGATGAAGATGATGACGATGATGATGATGAAGAAGATGATGTTGACGAAGAAGATGAAGATGATGAAGAAGATGACGTTAATGATGATGATGATGATGAGGAGGAGGAGGAGGAGGAGGTGGATGAGAATGAAGTAGATGAAGATGATGAAGAAGATGATGATGATGATGAGGAGGAGGAGGAGGAGGATGAGAGTGAAGTAGATGAAGAAGATGACGATGATGATGATGAAGATGATGAGGAGGATAATGAGAATGAAGTAGATGAAGAAGATGACGATGATGATGATGAAGAAGATGATGATGATGAAGATGATGAGGAGGATAATGAGAATGAAGTAGATGAAGAAGATGACGATGATGATGAAGAACATGATGATATTGATGATGAAGATGATGATGATGATGATGATGAGAATGAAGAAGATGAAGATGATGATGAGGATGAAGAAAAAAATGATGATGATGATGAAGGTGGAGAAGATGAAGATGAAGATGAAGAAGAAAAAGATGAAAATGATGATAAAGAAGGAATGAAGTTTCTTGCTAGTAACGATATGGTAACACTAACCCATGTCTTTTTTTTTTTTTTTTGTATAAATCATTTTCGTTTACTGAATAATCATTATCACTCGTATTCAAATTCACAGAATATAAAGCAGAAGTTAGAGTCGATGCCCAATTATCATAAGTTAAAAGAAGAAATAACGATACAATACTTGGCAAAAACCCACATCCTTCCTTACCTTCCAGCCAAATCATTAGCCAGGTGTAAACTTGTCTCTAAAGAATGGGATTCATGGATATCATGTCCATTCTTCACCCACACCCAAAGTCAATTTAGTCAAACTTCAGGTATCTTTGAAGACGAATTTGGATCAATTCGTTTCATTTCCCTTGACCACTTCACTTATGGAGTTCCTTTACCTTCTTTAAATTTCCTCCCAAAAGAAGTTTCCATAAAAAGCTCATGCAACGGGTTACTTCTTTGCCAAGATGAAAACCAAAATTACGTTTGTAACCCTGCAAACCAAGAGTTCGTCAACCTTCCAAATTCCACTTACTACCATAGCCAAGAAGCAAAAATCGTGCTTGCTTTTGAACCTTATCTTTTAAATTTCCAGCCATCTTATCAAGTTATATGCCCTTTCTCTATTCCTGGTGAAGAACCCATTTTGTATTTTGACATTTATGATTCAAAGACAAAATCTTGGAGGGTTTCTGAAGAAATATGCGTCGATTTGAATGAATCTGATGTGAAAAGCGAGGGTGTTTTTGTAAATGGAGTTGTTCACTGGGAAACGACAGGTGGCAAGTTGTTAGCCTTTGATTTGAAGCATGAAATCTATAGTGTTCAAATACTCCCCGGAGGTGGTGCATTGTCGAAGGTCCATGGAGTGTTATGCTATGTCAAAGGGCATTATCGTAATTCTACTAAAAAGTGTGTGTTGGATGTTTATCATGGTGGTCTTCAGTCATTGAAAAATACCATGAGTTTTTTTGCTCCTATTGATGATGTTAAAAAAGGTGACGTGGTTGATTGCAATGTTTTGGGTAATTCATGTGATGATGTTGTTGTTGTGATTTTGATGAAGTCGTGTGAAGAGTTGAATCGTCTTTTTGTTTATCATGTGAAAGATGGAAAGGTAGAAGGCCCGTGGTTTATCTCTAGTTCCGGTTTTGATAAGCTGTTGCCTTATGCTAATAGCCTTGTCTCCATTGCTTAATGTTTTTTTTTTAATTAGTAGTTAGTAGATGACAGTTTTGCCCCTTGGTACATATGCTATTACTTTTTTTTTTTTTTTTTTTTTTTTTGATGTTTGATGTTTGATATCGTTTTAATTGAGACGGTAGTTTCTTGAGATGTTTAATCTTGAATTTTTTTGGGGGGTTAATTTGGTCTTTCGGTCATTATATGATCATATTTTGTTTGAATTGTGAGGTGAGAGAAGGGTCCATCTTTGTAGGAGGGGAAAGACACGGTTGACTTTTCTCAATTGGGAATATCGCGATGTTCTTTCTCTCTCCTCCCTTTCTTGAGTCCTGTCTTTATTCTTCATTCAGGTAAAAGTAAAGCATCTCTCTCTTTTTTATGACTTGTTATCCGTAAATTCTTTCCAATTATAAGCAAAATGAAAAGATTCTATTTGGGAAAAGTCGTAGATTCTGAATGGTGTTTGGTTCTTATTTCGTAAGTTTTAACATTCATGTTTGTTCGAAATTTATAATCTGAGTTTTTAATGATGATGATGATAAACATGGAGATCCTCTTTGTTTCAAATTTCATGCTAAAAGAAATACAGATTTTCAAACGTGGGTTGTTTCTGAATTCTTGTAATGTTAATACAAAAGGGTGTATGATTGATTTATGCGAATTTTGACTTTGGATTTTGGAATTTGGAATGTAGTTCTAGATTTGCGTTGAGGAGGAAAGTCAAGAAAAATATACACTACTACACATTTGTTAGTAAATAGATTACAGGGGTGGTGAATTAGAAGTTACAGATGAAGGTCTGATTTTTCCGGCAGAGGGATTCAAATTCCGAGGGCCGGAAAAAGTTCATCTTGACATATGGAACCGGCCCCAGAGGCTGCTCCGGCCCCCACATCGCCACCACCATCAGATTATTCACCACCACCCTCACCGCCTGAAGACGGTGGAGGAACTCCGCCGCCTGCCGCTCCTTTACAGCCGCCATCAAACCCAACCCCGTCACGGAAGAAGCGACGTCCATCATCTACCTTCACCCCTCCTAACGTTTATCCGCCACGTGGCAGTGCTTCTAACAGAGATCCTGACAACAAATTACCCAAAAATTCTAACCGGAAATCACCATATAAATCAAACGACTCCGATTCAATTTCAGATTCTGCTGCCACCACCAGCATAACAATCATCGCCGGTGTAGCTGCCGCCCTTGTGGTGTTTCTTGCTCTCGTTATCGTTTGTCTGCTCTGTAATCGGAAGAAGAAGAAACCCTATTATTTGGACGACAGCCATGAAAAAACCTCCAGGAGTAGGCGGTGGTGGACCACATTACCATGGCAAACCAGACCATGTCGTCAAATTCGGAGGTGGGCCTGGCGGCAGTAGCAATTGGGGACAATCACCACCGGTAAACACCGGCCGCGCGTCGTCGGGGGCAAGAATGTCAGCCACATCCGTCATGTCTCTAGCATTCAGGAGCCAATTTCATACGACGAGCTAGCAGCCGCCACCGGAGGATTCGCCAGATACAATATTTTAGGGCAGGGAGGTTTTGGGTATGTTCATAAAGGAGTGTTACCCAATGGGCAGGAGGTGGCTGTAAAGAGCTTAAAAGCGGGCAGCGGGCAAGGTGAGCGGGAGTTTCAGGCGGAGGTGGAGATCATTAGTAGGGTCCACCACCGGTATCTGGTTTCACTCGTCGGATATTGTATTTGTGATGCGGAGAGGATTCTAGTCTACGAATACGTTCCTAATAAAACTTTGGACTTCCATCTTCATGGTGTGTATTTTTAAACATCTTTTATTCACTTTATACTAATACATGTTGACCATATCAAAATGGTACAAGTTACACAAAAAACATTTCATGTTTTTTGTAGGAATGCATCATGAATCCAACTTTTATTTGTAGGAAAGAGTCAACTTGTTCTAGATTGGCAAACTAGAATGCATATCGCGCTTGGATCTGCCAAAGGACTTGCGTATCTTCACGAAGATTGTACGACATTATCACTCTATCATTCTCTCACGTGTTCTATTTGTCGATAGTCTAAACATTTCCTCAAATCTTGTAGGCCATCCTCGGATCATTCATCGAGATATCAAATCCGCTAACATTCTACTTGACCATCAGTATGAGGCAAAGGTATGTGACGTGGGTAAAAAGTAGAAATAGTTTAAATGAATGATATTTACATTTGTGGGCCATTATAACATTTCTTGCACACGTAAAGATATTGTTCGTTTTGGACATGTGACATAAGAACTTATAAATGGTTTATAAGTTTTGGTGCTACTTTATTGTCATCATATAAACTTGTGTGTATATTTTATTATAACAGGACTTAAAAATCACATGATGTTTCTCATTCATAATTTTTATATGTTAAAAATTTAATATGATAAGTTTCAAGGATAACTTGGTAATTTTAAATCTTTATTCTATCATTTTCCGATTTTACCAAAGGTTATACAAACAATTTGTTTTGTTCAGTCCATTTTAGTTCTATCTTTTCCAGTTCCATCTAATATTGTCCCATTACCAAATGTTATCTAAAAGAATAACTATATACCTATGCAAAAATAGTACAAAGATGGGTGACTGTTTGGAAAGTGCTTGTTCTCTAAAATTGACACTATTTTGGTAGCGTGAAGGATATCACAACTACTAATAACTTCCATCACGGTTTCAAGCTTATCAAAAAGGTTATTTGGATATTTTGTTGCAGGTGGCTGATTTTGGATTGGCTAAACTAACATCAACTAACGACACACATGTCTCAACTCGTGTAATGGGGACTTTCGGGTAAGTTATTTATCTATAAATTAAAATGATGAAGTGTACGATTTTTTTTAAGTTTTTGCATATAAATTTCTCCAGTCTATTGAATCGATTAACAGGTACTTAGCTCCGGAGTATGCTTCAAGTGGGAAGCTGACAGATAAATCAGATGTTTTCTCATTTGGGGTCATGTTATTGGAGATATTAACAGGAAGGAAACCGGTCGATCCCACGAACGACTATATGGATGACAGTCTTGTCGAATGGGTTTGTAACTAGCTTAACCTAATTCAACGTCTTAACCTTCATGAATTTTATATAAACTTTAGTGATTTCTTTTTATAACTTGTGAAATTAAAAAACAGGCGAAACCACTCATCGCGAAGGCATTAGAAGATGGAGACTACAACGAGCTCGTGGATCCACGTTTGAAAGGTAATTACGATCAGAAAGAGATGGCTCGCATGGCTTCTTGTGCTGCAGCTGCAGTTCGACATTCCGCTAGAAAGCGCCCTAAGATGAGTCAGGTTAGATTTAGGGTTTAGGATTTTGTTTTCTATAACTTCCCTAATTAAACTATGTCAAAGATAAATCCATGTGTGCATGAACTAATTGATATATGGTATTTAACATGAACAAACTAGATTGTACGAGCATTGGAAGGGGATGCATCGTTGGATAGCTTGAATGAGAATACAACAAAAGGAGGGACACCAATAAGCAATGGTGAAACGAGAGTTTATGACACAAAGGACTACAATGATGATATGATGAAGTTTAGGAAGATGGTGATGTCGAGCCAAGAATTTGAGAGCAACGAATACAGTAGCAGATCGAGTATGAGCAACGAGACGAATAAATCATGACCTTTTAGAGACAAAAACTATAAACTTATGTATAGGGCTAAGAAATTTGTTGGGAAATGTACCATTGGAGGTTGGTGTTCCAAAATAGACATTAATGAACCATTTACACTAACACTAACACTAACCTAATCCATAACAATGACGTAAGGGGATGTGACTCATGTGAGAATCAGACAGTCGTTACCGATAGTAGAGACAATCCTTTAGGTGATGACCTCCGACATAAAAGAAACATAAATAAAAAAGAATGATTTGTTCATATGCCACGCCAAATGATCTTCTACGATAGCATGCAATAGAGAATAAACAGTGGAATGCGACTAAATAAAAAAGAAAAAAAGCAAATACAAGCACTAAGTTGCACGTATAAAACAAAAATAAATGAATAGATAAATTGGGTTGTTCATTTTGCCCACAAAGAGTAATTTCCTGCAACATGAAACGTTAGCCTATAATAAGGAATAAACTAGTTAAATGAGACTAAAGAGATAAAAACAAACAGGAACAATTGAAAGCGAAGTAAATATTGCAAAGATACATAACGTAGACGTAAATTAAAAATCAAAAACTAGCAACCGTGGATCATCTTCGAGGGACATATCCTAAAGATCATCTTCGGGATTGACAATAATGTTTAGGGGATTCCTTAGTGATATATGTCAATAAGGCAACTAGGGTGGATGGAGTACACATGGCAAACACTTGGTTCAAAAACATATATTGGTTGCGAGCATGCTAATATTCCAATTGATTGTCTATAATAATCCGTGGTCGTTATCTATACTTCAGTAGACGACTGGATCATCTTTAAATTCAAGGCATCTTATCACCTATTTCATCTTTCATATCTCATCATCTATATCATCATTTTATCTACTCATCTCTACCTAATATATTTATATGTATAAAAATGCATATACAATTTAAATTAAGAAAAACATATATAAGTCGTTCATCTAGAATAGATATCAGGAATACATATAATAGGTACATATAGCATGTAATTATCTCAAATACTTCATATCTATGTGTAAGATGGAAGTAATTATGCACTCACTTGTTAAAGTGATGACTCGAAACTCGAATAGTGATTCACCCCTAGCAACTGAATTTTCCTCTGACGTAACCTAGTATCATTATCACTAAGTTTTAGTTTAATATTCTATGTGACTAAAATAGCCTAGACCTATCAATTATTCCAATAAATACCGATAGTTCTATGAAATAAAGATAAACTAGGCAGGACCATTTCAGCGTATAGCCTTTCTGTAACATACGCAAAACTCATGAACTTTTTTAACTTTTTAAACAATCCAAAACAATCATTGTTTACATCTTGTTTTCAAAATAGGTTCATTATCAGAGAAATCCTAAAATCATAAAGTAAATCATGAGGAAGTGTAAGATCACGCCTTCGCCTTCCCGCCATCCCCTAAGGTACCTGAAACATAATGCAAAACTATAAGCCCAAAACTCAGTGAGTTTCTCCCAAAGTACTAGTACACAAACAATAACACAAATATAATAACAACATACTATGGTTCCAATCAACCATCAGGTTGGAATACCCCAGGCCCATCGACCATCAGGTTGGAATGCCAACATACTATGGGTCTAATCAACCATCGGGTTGGAATACCCTAGGACCCTCAACCATTGGGTTGGAATGCTAATATACTATGGGTCCAATCATACTCAGGATGGATTACCCTAGGCCCTTAACCATCGGCTTGGAATGCCCCGACCTGTTGGCTTACGCTCAAAGCAGTAATGAAGCCTAAACTACCGACCAAACATGTACACATATAACATATAATCATATAAAAGTCTACAGCCAATCACACATATCTACAGATCACTAAGCATAGCAATATCCTATCTACTAGGATACCGATCTAACAAATCATAACAATACGATAGCATGCATAACATGATATCAATCCAATGGGCCGACATTGGTGCCTTCGACCCACAAGTACAGTGAGGACAACTCACATCACAAGCGGTACAGAACTAACAAGGTCCGACTCCGAATCTCAGCTCTCAACTTAAATGCCTACAACCATCAAATAACCAGTTCTATCAAAACCCAGAATACCCAAACCTCAAGGTCAAACTTGGTCAAACTCAAAGTCAAATGGTCAAAGTTAACGGTTAATGTCAATGATCCATGCGACCCAACACATCGTGTGTACTAGCAGACACGCCATGTTTTGTTAGCAATCAGACGGTTGGGAAAACCCCAACCAACAGTCATGTTGGCTTTCCAACACGTTGTGTTTTTTCAAACATAATACATTCTAATGTTCCTTCGATACCAGGGACTCCAAGTCCCATATCTAGACTCCAATACTATCAAAAATGATAAAGTTTCCAAATTTATCCATTTAGACCACCCCCAAAGTTTCAAAAACGCATCGGCAAGGCTTGAACATTCAAGGGCTTAACCATAAAGTTCTTAATCCTTAAGATCTAAAGCCCCTTCCTTCTAAAAGTGGTTCAACCACCAAAACCATTTCAAAGATTGGTGTTTTTTAAGACATGCATGTCTCACACCCATATTAGGTCAAAAAGGGGATTCATGACCTACTATCCATGCATGACATCAAAACTTTGATTGAAACCAAATTCAAGCCACTACAATGTCTCCTTGACCTGGAGATTCATAAAGTTGCAAACTTTATGAGATCCCTCCATGCATCTGTCACAACTAGCACTCTCGGCTAGGAAATTATGTCAATATGTAATCAACTTTTCAGGTATTATGTAACTTTATGCTTGATAACACATGATGTTCGTTCCAAAAACCTAATTCAAAGCATTTCATACACTCAATTGTGGGTTATAACCCTAATGTTCCGGTTCAAACTCATATTAGACCAGAATCCTTTTATTGGGCCTATTGGGCCAATAAACTTTCAATTTGATTATGTTGGGCCAAGGAACCCTATTTGGGATCCAATTGGACCACATCCATGAAACTAAAGCATTTTGGGTCATGTGGGCCTAGAATGATTCATCTTATCTCTAATGGGCCATATATGGTTTCATAAGCCCTAATGGGCTGTAAACTATCTTCGTGAGCTTTATTAGGTCGTAAACCCTTTTCTTTATCACTATTGGGCTGTGAACCCTCATAAGGTCCCAGTGGGCCGAGAACCATCGACTTGGACCTCATAATATCGAAATCAAGCAAGTAAGGCCCAAAAAATTTCTTTTAACTTTTCCTTTCTCCAAAAATCTCGGCCCACATATATATATTTTTATACAAAAAAAATCAAGTAATTTAAAAAGTTGACACCTAATTATTATTTAGTGGTAGTCCATGCATTATCCCTCATATCTCTATGATAAACCTTACATTAATAACCAAGTTGACCCCCCCCCCACCCTCTTCCTTCTTATCCTCGGCCGAAACCCCCTCTCACCATCCCTCATCACTCAAAATTCTTCAAACACTCTGTAGCACAAGAACAACCCTCATCCAGCCTAGAAATCTCTTCCTAACTCACATCATTTCATGATCTATACTCTTGGAAAATTCATAGATCTCGGAAATCTCCTCAAGGACACATCTAGGGTCGAAACCTCCTTCAAACTCTTCATCAAACAAGACACAACAACCCAAAGTGAGTTCATACCCCCCCCCCCTTTTTTTTTGGTTTTTACTATGTTTTGGGGGAGAATACAAGTTGCTTTTGTGATAGATCTATGTATTTGTGCATGTTTATGTGTGTTTTCTAGGTTACATGTTGTGATTATGTGATGAAACTTCATAAATCTCGAAAACTCTACCAAAACTTGGTGATATTTGTAAACTAAAACACTTTAGGCAACTTACCATGAATATGAAAGTGTTAAACATGTTAAGGATGTTGAAAAACTAAACAAAATTTTGTAAAGGGACCATTTTTGACAAATAAACAAAAAGATGAAACTTTTTTGATACTTACGGTTTTTCAAGGATCAAAAGAGTCATTTTTATATAAAATGGGTCTTTATGATATTCATGGTTTTAAAAAGGGCTAAAAGAGTAAATATTCACAAAATGGGCTTAAATTGGGCCTTTACGGTTTTATGGGCCAAATTTTTAAAATTATGACTTTTGTGGATTTTTATATAATTGGGCTGAAGATGTCAATTTTCATGATAATGGGTTGAAAATGTTATTTTAACAAAAGTGGGCTAAAAATGTCATTTTATTTGAAATAAGCCCATAAATGTAAACATTTGGTCTTAAAGGACCTAAAGTGTCAGTCTTACCAAAAATGTGCCTAAATTCTAAATTTTCGACTTAATGGGCCAAAAATGTCATCATTACAAAAAGTGGGCCTTTTATGTCATTTTGGTAAACAATCAAGCTAAAAAACAACGTAATAACATACGAACTAAATACATCGATTACATGTTTATTGGGCCTAATATTTACATTACATGTTTATTGGGCCTAAATGGTCCATTTACATGCTTATTGAGTATGGATTATACATTTACATGTTTGTTGGGCCATAGTGGTCCATTTACATGCTTACTGGGCCTGGATTATACATTTACATGTTTTATTGGGTCTTAGTGGTCCATTTATATGCTTATTGGGCCTGGATTATACATTACATGTTTATTGGGCCTTAGTGGTCCATTTACATGCTTATTGGGTCTGAAAATAACTTACATGTTTAGTGGGTCTTAGTTGTCCTTCTACATGTCTGTTGGGCCTCATACATTCACATACATACTCATTGGGCTTTGCAAACATAAAATGTACACGGAAACATTATACACAGTGTAATACAATATTCGCATAAACTCGGTTAAGGATCTAGTGAGACATGCCGGTTGACACCTCTCGAGTCTACACTCATAGCCTGTAGTTATAACCAGAGTCTCCTAGAGAGAAAGCGAGAGTTTGTGTATAGATCTATATGGGGGTGACACCCTACACCTGAACTGTTCGCTACAATTAAACTAGGCCAGTCTAGGTTGACAAATGTGACATCCCCAATTTCACGGCCAGAAAAGATCGATTTGTTTATGCTTTGTTTTAATATCAGAGTAATCTTTTAAAGAAAACAGTTGTGGATCCCAAAAAAAATATGATAACCGTTTATCAAAACATTTCTCAGAGAGAATATATTTTCATTAAATAACAAAATCTCAGGATGTCATGTTCCGATACAGACAAAAGCATAAACAATATAAAATAGACCTTACAACGGTTATTTATAACTACTGATCTATAATCCAAAATCTCTCGT